TTCGCCTTCTGATTTACTTGGCACGTGTTTCTTTGTAGTGGTGTTCATAGTCAGCTGGGACTCGACACCATGCTACAATATTATCGTAAGACAGCTTCTTTATGAGGGTTCGAATTCCGCTATTTCTCAAGAAAAATTATCTTATACCATTAACTTATTGCAATTGTACTCACCCATACCGTTGTGTTGTACTCAAAAAATCTTGTTACCGTATATCCAAGGAATTGTTCACATCCATGTTAGATTGATTTTGTGTGACCTAGAAGAGCTTGTCTACAAATAGGGTGCAAAGCAATTTTAAGCACAATTTGAACATTTGTTTAGGACGTCTGAAGTTAATTTAAATTATTTTGTGCTGTACTCATTAAGGCTTCAGGACCACCCGTCACAACACTATTCTGAAGTATTTCTCTTTGGCTCTCAGTCGTAATTTCCTGTTTTTCCGCTTTTTACAATACTGACTTGCGCCTGATTTTTGCCGACATGTACAGGAATACCCAATAATAAATCCCCAGCTCTCAGTATTCCATCAATTTGCTCCATAGAGATTATACATCCTCAGAGATAACCACACCCCATCTTCTTTCGAGTTTATTGGTTGGTTTACAAACTCCGCCTGCAGTCCCTACGGGGGCTACTGCCAGTCGCAAGCCCGGATAAAGAAGGAGAGTTGTACATGGGGTTAGCGACCCCATCCCGTAGAAAACTAACTCGCTAAAAAAACGCTAACCAGAAAAGTTACCAGCATACAATATATAAACAGTCGGATTACGAGAATATCTATAGACAATAGTTTATTAAATAAACCTTTGATTATATCTACCTGATATCTTTCTAAATTTTCACTATAGTTAACCCTGTAGAGGGTAACTGACTTTAAAGTGATCAGCCTATTCTTTTTCATCCACAGATGAGCAAACGTGCTTTCTTACTTCCATTCTAGAAGACAAAGGTAGACAGCTAAGGAGCCACCGACAGTTTGTTATTCTAATGGTAATATTTTATGTAGACATAGTGTTTTTTATTTCCACTATTAAATAATGACATTTTATTTGTTTTATCAAGGTCGATCCTCAAGACTTGCTCCTTTATGGCATGTAATCTACGTTATAACCAGATAACTAAAGCATTAATCCAACTTTAAGGATATGTGAGAGAATCGAGTTATGAGTTCATCAGCATCAAATTCCTTCAACTTTCCTGTCTTCTATAAGGTTGAGTCAACATCACTATATCTCTTATGACAGGAGTCACTGATGATACTCGTTTTGCAACCTATCGTTTTCATTCCTTCTTTTAACTGTACCATTTCGCAGTAGTCAATTTCCAACCCATTGTCGTCTGATAAGATAGACCAGCTGGTCTCTTATTTTACCCGGAATTAACGGCCAACTAGAAACGTATATTGCCAGAAGTCGTACAAACATAGTCTCCCCTTTTCTTTCTGTTTATACTACATTCTGTAATATCGATAGATGACATCGATCTCGACCTCAGACAGCGCGCGTCCGAGTATCATTTCCGACATAAGGAAATAATTAAAAATACAGTTATTTGCATGATTTGTTGGTACGTTTTGTGCTTCCCAGACTTCTACAAGGCCTCATGTTCCAATATGTACGTTAATTCTCCATAGTGATGAGCTGTGGGATAATATTTTATTAATGATTATCTGTATAAATACGGTAGTAAACAGATACAATGTATGACTACGCCTAAATTCAGGGTGACTTAATTTACTTTGAACCGTTTGAAACAATCGAGAACAAATAAATAAGAGTTTTCAATTTATAAAGTTTTGAACGGTAATATATATTCAAAATAGTAACACTGTGATGTGTGCTACTGATATCAACAAATACAAGTAGTATGTATCATCAGTCGAAAGTGAAATGCCTGGAGACAGAAGATTAAGAAGACTGAAGAAAAGAGAACGAAAACAGAAAATAATTGGTGTGGAAATGAAGAAACAATAAAGTCTGAAACTTCATGCACATAGTTCCCTTTATCATTTTGAAAAGAGCAAGAACAAAGATTCTAGCAGAATAAAATGAATTCATTTTATTTCGTAGGTTCTCGTCAGCTGCTTACAACCTATAATATTTAAAAGATAAAAATTACATAATGGGTTTGAATTGCTTACATGAGAGGGTTTATATTTAAGAAATGTTCGTAAAGTATGACATGGGTGTAAATGAAATTAATAGGCTGAATATTGTAAATATATACCTAATGTGAAAGAATATTCTAGAGCATTAATTGTGACAACAGTTCAAAGAGGTAGAAACAATTGATTACATAATGAATAAACATTGATAGGAACATAGTGAGTAGAGTTCAGTTGAAAGACTATTAATTTTTTTAAAGATAGTTGAAAAAATAAAATCAATGACGTAATAAATATAAAAATAAAATTTTATTTTTCAAGCTGCAGCGGAAGAATATTTGTCACCAAGGCAGGGAAAGATTAACAATCATCTCCTTCTGAACACATAAATCAGGTTTTTGGCGCCTGATAGCAACTGCTTCAGCAAACTTCAGAAGACTGGAGTTTGGCTGCTTACTAATAACCTTGAATGATTGTAGGGTGTCAACCTGATGGCCTGTGTCAAGCAGATGTTTAGTGATTGCGCTACTTAGAGTCTTTCTTTCTCTTATTCTGAGGTTTTTTGGGACATGTTCAAAAAATCTGAGGTATGCCCTCCTTTCTGTTCGGCCAATGTAGCTGCTTTGGCAGGTACATGTAAATTTATAAATACAATTGGCGGTAACATGAAAAGGATGCTTATCAACCTTTGATTGAGTTAATGAACATGTTGTTTTATAAAGAATTTGAAGTTTCGCCGCTGGATAGGTTCTGGCTAGCGCAGTATTTAGTCTCCTGTTGATTGTGTTAGCAACATCGTCACCTTTGAAATTAAGACTTATAGTTATTGGTTTTTTATTGACAGTAATTACTTCAGTATTATTTTCTTTACGCTTTTTATATTTTTCAATAAACGTTTGTGGGTAATAGTTGTCTCGTAGGCATTTTTGTACGTTCATCAATTCTTCTTCCAGCTTATCAGTGGTACAAATCTTTTCTGCCCTATAAAATAGTGTTTTAACTAGTGCCTTCTTGTAGTTGAGTGGACAAAAACTATTGAAATCCAGGTAAAGGCCATTCCAAGTACTTTTTCGATAAAGCGAACGTTGGACTGTCCCGTCTCTCCTACGTTTTATAGCAACATCGAGAAAGTGGAACATGTCATTCTGTTCGTGTTCCATAGTAAATTGAATGTTTGGATGTGCATTATTGAAGAGTTCTAGCAGGCGGATTGCATGCTGTTTATTGTTGCAGACAATGAACGTGTCATCAACATATCTGGAATATTCCGTCGTTTCGTTAATCGCCTGATTAAGCACCATGTTTTCAAGATATCCCATAAAAATATCTGCCAGAATTGGACCTAGTGGGCTTCCCATTGCTACGCCGTCGATTTGACGATATATGGTGTTATTATTATTACACCCATGTCATACTTTACGAACATTTCTTAAATATAAACCCTCTCATGTAAGCAATTCAAACCCATTATGTAATTTTTATCTTTTAAATATTATAGGTTGTAAGCAGCTGACGAGAACCTACGAAATAAAATGAATTCATTTTATTCTGCTAGAATCTTTGTTCTTGCTCTTTTCAAAGTCTGAAACTATTGATTGGCACTTTGCAAATGAAGTATTTACTATATAGTTTTCAAATTTACAGAAAGATTCTGTAGTTTTATGTTTAGATACATTCGATTGTCCCCATATATGTTTACGTTCACTATAACTCTATTATATTACTTATGTATAAATTTCTGTAAGTCATTAGAACAATTATGTAAAGGCATATGGGAACATCTAAATTGTGTTGGAGAGTTGACTTCAGATGTTTGATTTTTGGCTTGATTATCCCTCTTTGATCATCATCTTAGGGAGTTATGCCATCATCTGTAAATTCCTCAAGACGGTTTTTAAGACTGTCAGTATTAGAAAAACTCATGTTCGTAATTATCAGTTGATGAAATCAGACCTCGGTTACGAGGAAAAGTATCTGTATAGATTAGCCTGGAAAGATGAATAAGCTGGTCCTAGTGACGAGTCTTCCTGAAAGATACAAGGATCTTATAGACCATTAACATTTCTAACTCACAGCAATGAAAACTTAGTTATAAAGAATAATTTTCTGTACATTCATTTGCTAACTTAATTTAAGTATACCTTAAAAAGTACTTTTATTACTTGTCTTATCATCCATTCTTTACTAGTTAATCAAAACAGAAGTAAAGTCATGAATAATTATGTCCTTAATAGACCCGATACACTGAATACTAATGAATTTAAATGTATTTTCTCAGGAGTGAAAGAAGTTTAATTCAACTTCAATTATATATATATATATATATATATATATATATATATATATAGCAAATGAAATTAGAAAAAATTTAATAATGAAGAAATAAAAATAATTTGATGTAATTTCATTTTTCTGAATCAAAATTATGAAAGATAAATGTTGCAATATGAAGTCATAGATAAGCCTATTCTCTAAAGTTTCAATGAAAAATCAGTGTAATCTTGCTAATATAGAGTCAAATGAAATCAAAAGAAAAATAGCATTAAAAATAAACCAGCTAATTTTATAGATTATAGCAAAAAATGATTGTGATATCGCTAAGTACTTTACATTATGATTAGATAGATGGTAATGAGATAAAATGCATTGTTTACTGAACCGAAAATCAAATATACGTATATGTTTAGTTTGGTAAGCATCCGTCGATTAAAATTGAACAATGACTGGGGTGATAAAGCAGACTAGTGAATTAGGCTTTGAAAAAGGCAAAGCTTTCATTAAAAGCAAGCATTCGAATTAAACATTTTATTTCCACATCTCTCGTGCATCCCCATGAACTGAAATATATATATATATATATGACTGGTCGTACAGATTACTTATATACAGAATACTATTCATCCGTATTCTCTGATTTCGGGGCAGCTTTAGGAAGGATACCAGTTGGAGGAACAGTTGCATTTTTACCTTCTTCCAAATGGAAACGCCGGTAATACAATTGAATTTGTGTAAAGACGCATTTCCAGTCAGGTATTTTCATACGCATTAAATCCTCAATGTCAAGTAACGGAGAAACATTGCCAAGTTTCCTGCCAATAGATACAAAGAAAATCTATGAAATCCTCAGGATTAAAAAATTTTAAAATAGTTATTTTCTAAGTAGGTAGATGGAAAATACTTTTACTGGCTGAATGTTTGTTCAAATGCACTCTGTTTTCTTAAGTTCATACATTATACAATCGAATATATATCATAAATACTCAGAACAGATATTGAATAAGAGCTTTTGAAATAATAAACTGAATTTTTATTTAGATTTTACTATTCTGTGGGGAAAATGTTTCGTGAGAAATTTTAGCGAAATATTAGTCAATATTGTAAGTTGGTGATTGAAGGTAGTCGACAATAAACCCTTGACATAGGTTCCTAGACCTTGGCACTACCTCCAGGCATCATCTCATATTTCAACATAGTGCAAGTGATTTCATCTCATTTAGAACAATGACCACATAGCAGCTTGATGGGTAGAATTTGATCAATCCTAAAAAAGGGCTTGACCTACATGACGTTGGTCACCACTAAGTGAATGATTTATTGGAAATTAGCCAGTGTTTTCTATCTGACTATAAAAGAGAGCTTACCTAATTTATGATCCTGTAAATTTCTTTGTGTAGATCCTATTGGGTGATTACTTATGAGATTTAAATAACTTATTAGTTTTTCTTACTCAGACCTTATAATGCGAAACGAATACTCCCACCTATTTTATTTGGATTAGTTTATATCTATTTTGACTGGCTTAAGGATTTGATGAAATTAACGAAAGTTAGTTGACATAAATTCCAACAAGTACACTAAATTTATAATATTGTATTATTCATTTAAGAAATTTCAAAGAAACTATTATGGGCCTATAGTGACAATTTTTGTATTTATCTGAACTCATATTATCATTAGAGAACTCGTTTTTGAAAACCAATTTAAGGATTTCTAGTTGAAAATATTTTTGCTATACCCTTTCATTTTACAATGAGTTATGAAAAAATCTAAAACCCAACCCCATTTTTGTAAATTTTAACCTAACCCTTTAGTCACACTTATACTGTCCGCTGGTCGCTTATGGACTCTAAGTGTATCAAAATTTACTCCAAAAAAACGATTTCTAGAACTTTAATAACGAGTTAAAATGAAATGATACGTGTAGAGTGAAAGAGTAAGAAATTAAAAAATCAAATGTTGATTGGCAACTATCATTTATTAGTTGATATATGCAATTCTGTAGCCTAGTAAATTATGCTTTCTCTAAGTTTTACTGTGAAATTTAAACTCAACTGCAATAATTGTGCTTATAACTTTTGAATAGGATGATTTCTTTGCCAAAACGCATCCAAATAAACAGTTTCAATAAAAAAATCCACGTTAGTAGAAAGATAGCGCATCAGATGTTTAGTAACCTGGTTTGTTAAATGAGAAATTACGAGTTTGAAAATTCAATACCTTTTAAACTAGTTCACTAAAATTAAGTGAAGTCAATGATACCCGAATAGGGTTAGTTTTTCACTTGATTAAAAACAACGTAAACAGTGCCTTGTTCTACAACAACCCATAGGTAAAATAGATATTATTTGAAATTAATGTAATAGACTCCTTTTTTTAATATTTATACTTTGAATATATTCATTTCAGAAATAACATTACAATAATAACAATAATATTTTCTCATAAACTAACATATATCAAAAACAATTTCAGTATATTTCTTGTGTCCTCAAGTTTAGTTTGATTGAAAATGAATTATATTTGATCGTTTTAAAACTAACAATTGGACAAACTAAAATAATTTATAATAGTTGAGATTATGAGTCATTGTACGGCCGTTTCTTCCTATCGTGTGACTCTTCAGCAGTGTGCATCTGCGATCCCGCTTCGCGAGATTCAAACTCAGGACCTATTGGTCTTGACCTCTAAACCACTAAGGCAGCATCCAACGGTGTCAATGTCTAACTTCAACTAATAATTCACTTTTTAAAATGATGTTACATATAAGACGACAGTCTTAGAATATTGTCTACCAAATTAATATATACACAATAAAAAGCATTTTATGATGGCTTAAAATTGTTCAATATTTATCAACATAGTAGTTTCTCACACTACAATTATTTACATACATTAATGATTTATTATTAGTATTAGTTACGAAATAATTTATATTACACATCAGATGTATTGCATCACTTCATAACTAGGATTATTTTACAACGTGTATATTTAACCGTACGAGTTTACAAGACAATTTTATTTGCAATACTGAACCATATTTAAAGTGTTATAAACCTATTAAAAAGTAATTATTTCTGATACATCATCTTGCAATGCATGTTATTTATAGAAAAGTCACAGACAATAACGATTATTAGGAGTAATTAAAACCAAGCTACCTTCAATGAATTATCTATAGTTTAATATGAGGTTTTCTCTAACTGATTTATACTACTTCAGTACTACGAATCATATTTTACGATTAGTCTTATTTCTATGTGATAAAATAATGATAACGTGATTACTATTATGTTGTTATTGTTATGTTGCTTTCATTATTATTATATTCAAGCTGTCCGTCATTTTTGATTGATCTATGACTATGTGACTGATTGGCCTTTTCAATACAGGTCAACAGGTCAATATGTCTACTGACTCTCAGTTAATCTGAATGCCATACTTCTATATATTTTCTGGGGATCTTGAAAATTCCCAATTTTTACGGTTTCTACGTTTGTTAGTCGAATCAATATCCTTAGTTATCTACGCGCACTAATATCAACGATAACATACTTTGTTGTCTCATAGCTAGTCTGTGTTCGTATATGTGGAGAAGTGGATTCTCATTCTGTCCGATTTAACTTTCCCCGATGTTAGCACACTATTTTGTTGATGGATTTGTCTCCTTTTGTTTTTGTGTATTTTCATCTGAATACAAAAAATGAAGTAATTGGGTTGTTTTGTGTGATAAATTGATTTTAATACGTTTTAAGCTTATTGAAGTAACTTCTGAGATGTTTTACAAATAATAATTGGATTTTTCGACAGTCGCTTATTTACGTCACTGGCTCCGAATAGATTCGCAGCTTTTTGGATGCAAGTTCTTTGACAATAAACGTAGCCGTGAGTCCTTTGTCAGCTGAACATAAATCAACTTTGGAAATCAGGATCGCTCTACCATTTGTAAAATAACAAAGGTCACTTTTACATAAAGTAGGCGTTAAAGACGTTATCAAAGACAACAACGTATTCTCCTTGGTTAAAACATACAGCTAAGAATAAAAACTAACATATAATATTTCATTTCAAACGTCTCATCGTTCATACGTAAACATGACCGAGAACATATACGGAACGTTTATTTAAAAAAATGCATGTAATGTCAGAAAAATGTCAAACTGTAAACGTTATAAAGGATTATCGATTTCTAGATCACGTCACGCAGATATAATAGACTACGCAATGAATAGGCGAACAATTCACGAATTCCATTAAATTTCTACTTATTACATCACAGTCATTGATCATGTTTTGCCATCTTTCCTTTTTAAAATGCCATATTTGTTCTCTACTATCAAAATTATAAATGGAACAGTTGGTTTTCACATGTCATCCATAGTGTCATTTATTATACAGTGATTTATGGTGAATAATTTTATGTCTGATATCTTATAAAAAACACTGCACCTCACGATATAAAATAAGAAGATTGCTACAATTTGGAGTTCTCTATTCGGTAAATTCATTGTCAGAGCTGTACGATTGCAAATATATACTTATTTTTCAAGATGATAATAATCACAGTAGTGATAATCAAATTCTGTTAAACATGGTAACATTGAGATGGAATAAACAAAGGCATTAAAACGTCACTTTTTTATCAAGGAAACTAATAATATTCTAATCGAATTGAAATGAATTCATGAGTCTATCCAAGCTGAGATAGCTAAGCTAGTATGGGAGTTTTCAGCTGAGGAGTCCCGTACTAGAACGAAATGGCTGTCCAGTGCTTCCAGGTTTTCAGTGGTGGTCTAGCTTATAGAGACTCATGAAATTACTACAATTTCCATAAATCCCCATTGTGATAATAAAACTAATAATAGTTCTAATTCACTTGATATTGTTTTACTTGAATCTTCCCATTGATGTATTAGGACTGAAATTGATCAGTCTCCTATTGGCATATCTGCATACTGTGCGTATGCCTCGATATTGTCTTAATTTACAAGTATTATAAGCAAAGATGGATAGTGGCTAGCAGTGTAATCCAGGACGCGCGTTTCGTCCTGTTTGGGACTCGTCAGCTGGATGTACCTGCATCTCAGAGTTGATGTTCACTCTGGGACTCGAACTCAGTGCCGTTCGCTTCAAAAGCCAACGCGTTATCCTAAAACATCAATGGGAAGATTCAAGTAAAACAATATCAAGTGAATTAAACTTCACCCCATTGCAAAAGCAAGTGGCTATCAGGATTCAGTAGCTAAGTGGATAATGCAATGACGTTTGAAGCGAACGGTACTGAGTTCGAGTCCCAGAGTGAACATCAACTCTGAGATGCAGGTACACCCAGCTGGCGAGTCCCAAACAGGACGAAACGCGCGTCCTGGATTACACTGCTAGCCACTATCCATCTTTGCTTATAATAATAGTTTTGTTATTGTGGGCTTAAATATTCGTAATGAAGATAAATGGAGAAATCATATTTGGGAAAGGAAGGCTCAACATGATAAGATAAAATGTTGAAATTGAGATAAGCTGTAATTAAGAGAATCATAGAGGCAGAAAAAACCCAGTCGGGAGCAAAAAGTCTATAGAAAAGATGAAAGACAAGCAGAGAGCTGTAAAGGGAGAAAACAATGAAGAAGAAAATGAAAAGAGATTAAGGTCGTGGTAAAAGAAGGAAATGAATTCTCCAAAATCGGACTGTTAACTGAACCTATCTATCTTATTTTACGTCTCAATGGGTATATTCCGTTTACTTCAAGACACGTTAAAATAAAATAAAAGTAATATAAAACTAATTAAGTCAATAGAAAATGTTTTACTATGTCCTTTATCAGCCAAATTAGCATTATGGATTAGAAAAATATCAAATGATTATGTTGTTCTTATGGAGCGTAACTATTTAGCTGATATATATATATATTGTCCACAGATTACTATTAGTGCCTAGTTAATGGAAACGTTAGTTGACCCAGTCTGTGTTATAGAGATTATGATCAAAGGATTAATGAGGTTTCTTTTTACAAAATCTTCTTACTCTTTCATTGAAATGCTTTTTTTCTATTATTAGTTTCACACTTCTATTTTGTATTTATAAATACTATAACAGAAGATTATTTTTAAGGGATAATGGTGAAAATTTTATGACTTTAGTTAGAATTTGCTTCTCTTGATTGATTCATATTAGACAGAATGTAGTTCACTTTAAAAATCACTTTTTTTTATCTTTTCCGAATATTTTATTTATTTATTTAAACACATAAACATTGGTACAAGGAGGCACCAAATAGATATGCGCCACATAAATCATTCGATTTGTGTGAGAACTAGGATACTGCCCGGGTTCTCAAATTGAAGCAGGTGGTTTTCATAAGGAGCCACTCCTCGAGCCTTTGGCCTAGATGTCTTATTCACAAGGCAGTGGAGCAAGGTCAGGAGATGCAGTCCCATGATGGCCGGTGACCAACTATTAGTTCATACGCCATTTGTTCTCTTATGATCCTGGAGCCCATGTGCACCATTGGCGTGAAATCAGGGTTTTCCAACTCCCCTCAGTGGACTCTTCGTGTCCATCAACCCGGCTAAATCTCTGGACATTCGCTTTTCGTCCTATCAAATTCCCAAACAACACTCCCGCCACGAGAAGGCAGTAAGTAGGACTTCCCTGGCATTGGTTGTGTACGCGTGGTCATGTGAGAGCATTTCGAGAAGTTGAGCTTACTCTCCCCGCTCTCGGCCGTACCTGGGCGTTTTGAGGCCTTTTCGAATATAATTCATTATGTATTGAAGAAAATCACTTCTTTACACTAAATATTAAAGATTTCAATATTGGCTTCAGTTCAAAAAACTTATTTCTTTATATCAAGGAAATAACATCAACCATGAATATAGTTTGGTGTATAACTCTACTGAATTAAAAGTAATATCAGTTTTCAAGTAAAATTTGATGTGTTAGTCATAATTTAGTGTAGATTAACGGTCAACTTATAACACTGGAAATGAGATATTATTAAATAGGATGACACAGTTTATCTCTCTTATATAAACTGAACAAAAAATTCCAAATAGAATAAAGTAACAAAGTTTAAAAAAAACAGTCATGTCATATAAGTAATCCTTCATTTTACACATTAATCTGTATGATTAGAAGTGCTGAGTAATTTCAATATGTTTCACGTTTAGTAAGCGTGATGACTTTAAAAAAAAGGTAAAATTATATTTCACTAAGTGAAAATGAGTCGATATAATAATATGATTTTTTTCTATATAAGTAATATCATTCTAAAATATTCTTCATTCTAACATTTTGTTGTATCCAAATTATCAAACGGGGTTTTGTGGATATTATAGTAATTTTAATGGTGTACTGCTGAGGAGTCCCATATTAGAACGAGACGGACGTCTAATGCTTCTAGATTTTCCATGGTGGTCTAGCTTTAATTGACCCATGGTCTCAACTATTAAAATTCCTTTTGTATTAATCAATTTAATTTAAGTAAATGAACTATACTTTTCAAACAAAAGAGGTGGTAATTCACATTCAATATTAACTGTATGTTGGTGGTGTAACGAATTATTGTTGTGTTTTGTTTAATAAATCAATCTATTTCAAAGGTACAACATTTTGTTGATATCGATTTCAAGGTTGGACTTGATAGTTTTAAACAAATTGAGCATCGGGTAGAAAGTTATTAATAAATACATTTTTCATTGTATCCCACCTCTTCAGAGACTTATTCACTATGAGGAATTGGCTTACATCAAGTCACGAAACGTTGGAAATATAAAATTTCTACAGAGATTTAACAAAAGAATATATTTGTTAAACAACATTTTATTAAATATTACGATATTTTTAAATTCTTTTAGGTACTATTGTACCACAGTGGCCAGGTAGCCAGTTAAAATGATATTTACGTTTTGGACTGATGTAATTTTTTGTGAAACTTATAGGAATCAAAATTATCTGACTAACTTCAAAAAAGACATGCAATCAAAATCACAGATGAACAGAAAAGTGATAAGTTTTCAGTAAGTGGTTATTTGTTCTTTCAATGTCTTTTATTAAGTTTGGAGACATTCTGGAAGTGTTTGATACTCAAATTTATTGTAATTTTAATAAACAAACGAATAAAGTCAGCTCACTGCGAAATGACGGGGTCGAGTGTGGTTAGCATTTCTGGTTGATGCTCTTTAGTGGTGTTACATTCTCTTATCTGAATGGTTTGTTTGTAAAACCTTTAATGTTACTTTGAACAATATTATAATTTTTGGAAACAAAACCATTCAACCAAGAGAAAACCGTTTAACGAAGATCAAGTTGTTATGTGTAACAATGAATAATATTAATACCAGATAATCTTTCGTTTTCGTTACGATTTTCAAACCGCATCATCCTTCTAAATCTCTTTATTTCTTCTACTTAATTCGTTTTTTTTTCATTTCTGTTTTATGCATTTCCATGTGTCAGTAAATTTCAGAGAAGTGGTCCTACTTTGTTTGAAATTAAATTGTAAAAACAATCTAACGATAATAAAACTATTCAAAAGAGATTGAAAAAATTTCATCCTGGCTACTGTTATCTTGACATTTTATTGTACTATCATGTAACAAATAAGCAAAACTGACCTACATAACAATACAGTAATGTTTTTACAACATTGCTTATATGAAATTATACACATTTATATGTGAGGTTGACACGAATAATTGACTAATATACATCTATGTGTTTCATTGAAGCACGAAAACTGTTGACTGAACTATTAGATTTATAACTACTCTGAGAACAACCAAGTTCAGTATTCAATATATCTTAGAATGTTGTCAGAATGATATGTTTTAAGAAAATCTTTGCTGTCGATTTGAAGTGAACGAAGGAATTACAAAATCATATTGATTACCTGTTGAAAGAGGAAAAGATCATATTTAGGCTTTTCTTCTGTCAGGTCATCGTTTCTATTTCTTGATAAAGTCTTTACATACAGTTTAAAGTTATTTGCTTGATTGATCCCAGTAGAATTTTTTTAAACTTATTATGATTTGACAGTAACATCTGTACGACTATTATTATTATTATTATTATTATTATTATTATTATTGTTATTATTATTACTGTTACATGCTTAGCAATGTAAATATTCAAGTCTCAATGTATTATTGAAATGCCTCATATTATTTCCCTTTTATATGCATTACTTCAAACTAAGTCTTTAATACTATCAAAAGATATATCCCCAATTACAAACAAGAGCATTCCAAAAGGACTATGTGCTGTAGGATGATTGAATAAACGGGTAACTAAAATTTAAAAAATAACCTATTTGTTTAATTTAAGATAACTATAGAGAGACTTATATGAAAAGAAAACTATTTCTGAATTTTTAAACAATGAAAAATATGTTTCGTTTTAAATAACCTACAGTCGTTTTAATTCGAATATTAGGAATCCGATTTTAGTGTTTTACATACCAGCTTGAAATATAAAAGGTGTTCACATTAAATAATCTTGATGTTTATCAAAGTTACAGATGCATCTAGATTAAGGAGATACAGTATGACTAATTTATTCGATTTCAGTCTACGGTCTTCATCTATTTCAGTGTAGCTTCATCTGACGTTATTGAAAATCCATTGTTACTATAAAAAGACGGATAGCTCATTTTAAAGACAGTTAATCCTACGGTCCGTCACGTTACGACCTAACTGAATAAAAAATATATATGCGAAATGGAGGGGCATATCTGTAAGTTTATACATGCATATCTTTTTTAAACTTACTCAGCTTTTTCAAATGCCAATTCAAAATTTGCTCGTTTATTTTTTGGATCCAATGTAGAGAAATCAAATGAATCAGGATAAAAGTGATGAATTAATGCACAAAATGCCAAACCATCACCCCAACTACTTCCGAAATTTTGTATGTCCACACCCTGAATACAAGTAGAGAAAGAAATAAAGTAATCAGTAATAGATAAATCAACCCAAAAAGGAATGTTGATATCAAGGAGAAATGTCGCTGGAATCATATGTCATTTCCACCGTAAAAGGATGTTATTACCAAAGTGAATCTATGAGTTGGGTCAAATCAGAACATGAAACAATGTTTCATAGGAAATCGAAAATTGTTTAGTTGAGCATATTTTGATTTATATAAGATATATTTACACTAAACGTTGGACTCTTCATTTATGGTTTCAAATATAATAGTCTGATCTATAACTCTATTGTAAAAATTGTAAAACGATAGTGTGATGTTTTCAATATCTTCAGAAAATCACGTTTTAAGTCCCTTGTCCTTCAATGTACAGATAAATTATACTTTTGAATCTCCAAAGTTTTTACAGTGACTGGTACATATATATACATATTCTTACTTGACTAAATCAATTTCGAACGATATTTGATCTTAGAAGGATGAGGAAAGCTTACAACCTCCTGAAAATAAGCTACTTTAAATTAATGCATAGATATTTAAGGTTCTATACAATAGTAAATTAGTTTTAAAGAATATGAAAGCTCTAGGATTTAGTGCATCCACATAAAACATTTATGTAACGTTATTTTTGTGATCAACAATCGGATATTGTAGTTAAAAATGGTAACTATTATTTTTCTGACTGATAATTCATATCTTATACATAACCAACAGATGACGCTATATAAGTTATCGGAATAATCAAAGTTTGGTTGTATAAATTTATAGTGTTGGAATTACCTTTTATATAGTTGAAGTAAACAGACACAATCAATTTACTAGATATATATTGAGAGTAAAAAAAACACTGAACCTACAAGATTTTAATAAAATCAGAATATCTCAAGGATGGACATAGCTGTGTAACTATTGATTCAAATCATTTCATTTGAAACGTTATATTCACTTTGGATGACTATTTACAGTAACCAATGTAATATTTGTTTAGTTCTTAGTGTTATTCAGATTCAATAGATCAAAGTACAGTAAGTTCATTAGAAAAGCCTACCAGTAGTCTAGGATTAATGACCAGGTTGCAACATAGCACGCAGAATTTAATCAGTACTCAAAACGAGATAAATATGACATTTGCTACGATTCAGTATTTAATCAGCTTGAAAATCTTATTTCTACAGATAAATGATTCTAGGTCAAATAACGCAATGATTACGTTTCTGATTGTAAATCTTAATGATGTATTCGAATTCAAGGGGATGAAAGTCGTCCCTCATGAGTTTTCGTTTATCCTCTACTGATGAGTGGCATCAAATACGATACCTAGATTGGATAATTCCTCTAAATTGCCACTAACATTAAAGCAACCTAAACAAAGAAAAATAGAATCTAGGAATGTAAATATTTTCTTTGAATGAACACAGTTGGAAAGTAGTGACTGTTCATGTTTCATACAAAGCAAAGTAGTAAATCAATAATACTGGACTATTAGAACTAAACAAGTATTTCATCACCTGAGGTCATCATAAGAATTCATGTTGGACAATGTACATACTTATACAAGGTCCAGGTAACAAAGTGAACAGTTCCATGAACTGTTGCAATTCGTTTTTCACGAATAACTTGAACCTTTATTAAATATCACATTTTTTGTGAATGAGAACGATATAGCCAAATAAATATCATAGCTGAGTTTTATTTATTTCTTTATTTGTTTGAACACATGAATATTGGTACATGAGAGCGCCAATATATATGCGCCACACCATAGCTGAGTTAGTTTTGTCTATTAATTTTGAATTAATAGAGCTATGAAGGCAATAATTATCAAAGAAGTATATTTTCTGTTAAGATTCTATGAGGCTCTTTAATCGATCGTAAGATTGGACTGTCTTTTCATATGAAATATTAAAATTTATACTTTCATTATCAGTAATGTTAAAGACAACCAAATATATAAGATTTTATCAATGATGTTTTGCTCTTATAATTTCGGTGGTTTTCCTATCAATTCGATCTGAATATCTTACATAGTAAATATATTTTCTTACATTTGTATTTCTCTACACCGATAAAGATAGAAATAAGAAAGCTTATGAAAATGTTATATTAGAAGAATTGATAATTTAATGATTTATAAAACTAGATTAGATTCTACAGGCAGTAAAATAGAAACTTCATTACTAGATACTGACCATAAGCTAATAGTATTTTTTTCATTTAGATAATAATTTCATTATCTCACAAAGCTACCTTTGCATGGAATGAGGTTGTTTCATTTCTAAAAAAATTAGGTCGTGGTGTACAGAACTTGCTTATTTATATTAAATTTTCTACTATACATATTTGTCACGACCAAAAGTACTGTAACACATACTATATCTGATAAGTTTTAGTTCATACTTACCGTACACTGACAAAATTAAATATAAACGGCTTCAAGGTAATTGCCAGATGGAATTCTTTTCATTATAACAATTTTATTTGGATATTTGTGATACTATGATAATCCATGTTTGATAATTTGCATAAGTCTGAACTCTAATGAATGATAGTGCTTACGGATAATAATTAATGTTTAGCACATAAAAAGATCAGGGATACTAGTAACTTTATAAAAATTTCACGTGATTATACTAAGACGTTAGTAGCAAAAAGTACAATACTCCATCAGTGATATACACTCTACATGATTTTGTTATTCTTTGAACCTAACATGTTAATAAATGGGGCTGGAAGGCAATGTTATTAGTGATAGGATCTAAACACAAATCAAAAGAATACTCAGTTTTTTTATCTAGATTTCCGTGAAAGTTTAGCCGTGGAAACTGAGCTAATCAACCAATCTGGTATCTAAGGCTATCATAAAAGTCTAATAAGTAACTTCTAAATAACATAATGTATTGATAGAAATGTTTTTTAGATTCATGTTACTTATTTAAAACATCTTTGACACCACTTTATTTACATAAGTTTCTCTGTCAATCAAACATTTTACGTTATTTCCAGAAATACAAATGGGAAACTAATCTGGTAATCAATGTAAACTTTGGATAAAACTAATTCATCAAACCGATGTATTACTATTGAAAAGCAAAAGTTTGTAGTATGATTTACGATCACTTTTATTCCAAATTTTCGCAAGGCTACCGACTAACACATTAGTGCTGTTTCTGAGTTGTGTTTTGGGATATTTATTAATAAAAATACATTTGGAGTTGTATAAATTGTAAACTATTTTTATCCATAGCTTAGCTATGAATGTAGGTATGCTAATTAGTTATTATTATGATTGTTAGCAGAGAGTGATTACGATTATGTTGAGAACGTTATCAGTGGTTGTGGTATTTCGGAGAATGATTGGGCCTACTGTAATTTCTACTTACAAATGACAAATTCGTTTAACACAAACAGGATCTAATGCGAATCCGATTGAGTGACAACTGACACATAACAATTCACCAGTAATCTTCAAATGGAAAGGAACACTCAGAGAAGGGATGAGTGCAGAGAAAGTTTGATATTCCAAGAGTTAAATGGGAAATATGATAATTCTGAATATGTTGTAATAAAGCATGACTTTGGGAGACAAAAAAATTGTCAAACTATGGATGCAAATGACCAATAAAATAAAACCGGATTTTGATGAGGAATTATGAATCAGAAAAAATATGCTTGCTTTTATCGCTACTGGAAAGAAGTACAATTTATTTATAAAATCTGGATGACTTGAGACCTTCTTAGCCTAAGTAGACTGAAGTCATGTAAGATTAGGTGATCGGTTAAAATTTTTCTAAACGTAAATTCAAATGAATACAGTTATTTAAGGAATTGAACTTACTCATCAGCAGAAAAATCTGAATACAAATTTAGTCTTCTTCAGTACTTAAATTTGCACTTAGAGTTATATTCATGACAATGAACCATTAAAGTGAATAGTAAGATACTTTTGCTAACATTCCTAATAAGTTAGAAGTTAAGGAAGGTCTGGTTAGAGTTAAGAAACTACAATTTGAAACTACTAATCCTCAATACGATAAGTGGTATTTCATAATTATAATGAATTACGGATGTAAACGGTTCATTCTGTATGTTAGTATTCGAGTACAAAATTATTTTAGATGGTCAGTTAGCTAAAGTCTTAGGGTCTCATATACATTAAAAATAAGAACTCTATACAGGAAAAAAAATCAGTGACTCAGTTACAATAGTGACAGAAGAGAATAAACAGAACTTCATAGCATTATCAATAATTATATCGTTCACCGCTTTGCGAGCTTAATTTTAGGGATTATAAATCATGTTTCATTTGATTATCATTGAAATTACGTTACAAAATACACTTAACAATTTCGAAAATTTATTAGAAATAAGTCTTTCAATATTTACTATATACAGAAGAAAAAATTGAAAGTTAGGAAGCTCATTACGATAATGGCTTTTTAATAACAATATATGGACAGACTAGCAAGCCACCACGAAACGTCACATTACTTCAAAACAGTATTGAGAATAAAATCAAGTTGAGAAATAACTTCACGAACAAAACTGGAATATTAAAAACAAAAAAAAAACAAAATGAGTGGTCGGAATTTAAAGGCTATGTATCTGCATGAAATCTTGAACTATTAGTATTTGCCATTTGGTCGGCTACAACTAGAAATCCCTCATTTCCCTACACGATTCTTACAATCTTTAAGTTAGCTAACTAAAGAATTGAAGATGAACTCGTGTTTATTTTTATACAAAATATCATACAGATATCTTCATGTGGATATAATAATAACTGAGTTATAGTGTTATAAATCAGATCTTCTTTACTTCATTTAATACAATAATTCAAACGAGAAATATTTTATCACTTTTTCTAAATAAAAACTCCGCCTGGAGTCCCTCCGGGGACTACTGCCGGTCCCGAGCCCGGATAAAGGAGGAGGGTTGGACATGGGGTTAGCGACCCCATCTTGTAGAAAACTGACTCGCTGAAAAACACTAACCAGAAAAAAATTATTTAAACTCTGCCCTGGGAATCGGAAGGTCTTCAGTTAGGAGAGTTATGACGCCCCATGATGAAAGTCGAGTTCCTTCGGAAGTCACGAGGCAGATGCCCCTTCTAACAACCAGAGCAATCATTTATTTAGGTACATAAAATGCTTGTACAATGTGGCAGTGTCTTCCAAATTGCTGCATTTCTAAATAAAAATAATGATGCTATCCAATAACTAGTAATTAACTTAGATATTTAGAGAGGATATATTTTAATCGGTTGTCAAGTCCTTCTTCATCTTTCAGATTATTACTCCTAATGTAGCATAGGCTGCCGACCAGCATTTTCTAACCCACTCTGTCCAGGGCCTTCTTGTCTAGTTCCATTCAATTCTTATTCATTTTTCTCATGTCTATTCCCATTTTTCGGTGTAATGTGTTCTTTGGTCTTCCTCTCTTACTTTGGCCTTGAAGATTCCATGTGAGGGCTTGTCTTGTGACGCAGTTGGGTGCTTTCCTCAATGTGTGTCCTATCCACTTACAGCGCTTCTTCCTGATTTCTTCCTCCACTGGGATCTGGTTTGTTCTCTCCCACAGCAGGTTGTTTCTGATGGTCTCTGACCAACGGATCCGAAGTATTTTGCGTAGACAGTTGTTAATAAACCCCTGTATTTTCTGGATGATGGCTTTCGTAATTCTCCAGGTTTCTGCCCCATATAGTAGAACTGCCTTGACATTTGTATTGAAAATCCTGAACTTAGTGATGGTTGACAGTTGCTTTGAGTTCCAGATGTTCCTCAGCCGTAAATATACTGCTCTTGCTTTACCGATCCGCGCTTATATATCTGCGTCAGATCCACCCTGTTCATCAATGATGCTGCCCAAATATGTAAAGGTTTTTACATCTTCCAAATCTTCTCCGTCAATTGTGATTGGATTGGTGCATGCTGTGTTGTATCGGAGAATTTCGCTTTTCCCTTTGTGTATATTGAGACCTACTGCTGCTGTGGCTGCTGCTACACTGGTCGTCTTCTCTTGCATTTGTTGTTGCGTTTGGGATAGAAGGGCCAGATCATCTGCGAAGTCTAGATCGTCCAACTGCATCCTAGATGTCCATTGTATCTCGTGCTTTCCTTCAGATGTTGACGTCTTCATGATCCAGTCGATCACCAGGAGAAAGAGAAAGGGTGAGAGTAAACAACCCTGCCTAACACCGGTCTTCACTTCGAACGACTTTGTCAACTGTCCTCCATGCACGAGTTTGCAGTTTAATCCATCATAGGAATTTCGTATGATGTTGACTATCATCTGAGGCATGCCGTAGTGTCGAAGAAGCATCCATAGTGTTGTTCTGTCCACGCTATCAAATGCTGTCTCGTAGTCAATGAAGTTGATGTGGAGCAATGAATTCCATTCGATTGATTGTTCCACAATGATCCGTAGAGTTGCGATTAAGTCTGTACACGATCTATCCCTACGGAATCCTGCCTGTTGGTCTCGAAGTTGGGCGTCTACAGAGTCCTTCATTCTGTTTAACAATACCCTGTTGAAGACTTTTCCCGGTATTGAGAGAAGAGTGATGCCCCAGTAGTTATTGCACTTCTTTGGTATCTTGGTGAGGTGTCCTTCTTTCCAGTCTGTTGGCACTTGTTCCTCATCCCGAATCTAATTGAAGAGAATATGGAGTATCCTTGCAGTTACTGCTACATCTACTTTCAGTGCCTCTGCTGGAATAATGTCTGGTTCTACTGCTTTGCCTCTCTTGATTTGTCTGATGGCCATGCTGATCTATTCAATTGTTGGTAGGCCAACATCTATTGGAAGGTCCTTGTGATCTGCTCCGAGGTTGAGTGGGTTCAATAGGGCTGGTCGATTCAAGAGTTCCTTGAAGTGTTCTACCCACCTGTTTCGCTGTTCTTCAATGTTGGTGATTACTTTACCTTCCTTGCTTTTCACTGGTCGTTCTGGCTTACGACAATTTCCAGCGAGTTTCTTTGTTATGTCGTACAATTGTCTCATGTTTCCTTCTCTAACAGCCTTTTCCGCCATCATTGCTAGATCCTCTACGTATTTATGTTTGTCGGTTCTGATGTTCCTATTCACTTGCTTGTTTACTTCTGTGTATTCAGCTTGCGCCTTGGCTTTCTCTGCTCTTGTTCGTCTGATATTGATTGCTGCCTTCTTGTTCCTCCTTTATTCAATCTTATCCAGTGTATCAACAGTGACCCATTTCTTGTGATGGTGCTTCTTGTCGGCCCACAATCTCATGCCATGTTAAAGTGACTGCCTCCTTGACTCCTTTCCAGTTGTTCTCCATGGTAGTTCCCTCTCCACTGAGTAGATTGTGAAAGGCCTGTAACCTATTGGTGAGGGCTATCTTGAATTCTCTGAGTTTGTCAGTATCTTGCAGGGCCGTATTAAACATTTATAATGTTGTCCACCACGTTGTCCAGTACTTCTTGAGTTTCAATTTCATCTTGGCGATCAGCAAGTGATGATTTGATGCTATATCAGCTCCTCTCTTGGTTCTCATATCCTCCGTCGTCTTCCTGAACTTTTTGTTGATGCAGATATGGTCGATTTTGTTCTGTGTAGTGTGATCCGAGGAAGTTCATGTTGCTTTGTGTGTGCGTTTACGTGAAAATATAGTGCCTCCTATGACCAGTTTATTGAAGGCACATAAGTTAGCAAATCTCTCACCATTTTCGTTTCTTTCTCCCAGTCCGTGTCGTCCCATGATGTCTTCATATCCAGTGTTGTCCGTTCCAACCTTGTCATTGAAATCTCCCATCAGAATGGTCAGGTCCTTTGTTGGTCACTTCTCGACGATTGACTGCAGCCTATTGTAGAATTGATCTTTAGCGTCTTCATTGTAGTCGTTGGTAGGCGCATAGCATTGGATGATGTTCATTGAAATGCCCTCTTTCTTTGTTTTGAAGGAGGTTTCGATGATCTTTGGTCCATGAGAATCCCATCCTAAAAGTGCATTTTGTGCTTGTTTGGACAGCATCAATGCAACTCCTTGTGTATGTGGGGCATTTCATTTTTCATGGCTAGAGTATAACAAAAGCTCCCCTGAAGCCATTCGTTGTTTACCAACTTGCGTCTAATGTGTTTCGCTGATCCCAAGCACCTCTAGGTTGTATTTCCTAATTTCTGTCCCAATTCGGAAGACTCTTCTAGTCTCCCACATTGTACGAGCATTCCATGTACCTAAATAAATGGTTGCTTTGGTTGTCAGTTTATTGTAAACTGTATTCGCTTAAAAAATGTTAGATAACATATTAAATTAAAGTTAGTTACCTCATATCCTTTAGTTACAGCTTTACACCAATCAAGCATAATCTGTTTTGCATTAGGTTGTGCTCCTTTTCCACCGGATGCGAAACTGTAATGTAATTAATAATCAATAAACGAAATACCTGTTTTGCTATTGTAATAAATATACTTTTGTTATATTTAAATGAGTAGAAAAATTATGTTTCTGACGTTTCGTAACTTAATGTAAGCCGCTTCTTCAGAGTAAAATAATAAGCATTAAAATTAATACATGTTTAGATAGTACAAAGGAAACAATGAAACTATTAAGTCTAACCTTGTTATTGATACCTGTTTTGTTATTGTATTTTAATCTTTGATATTATAGTTCGAAATTTCGGGTATGTGGTGAAATGAATGCATGTTTATTGTAATGTTATATCCAGTGCTATAGTTTGTATTAACTAAGATTTTGCAAAATCTTTAAATTCTTGTTAAGTAAAATGATGAAAAATAACTGGTTCATAATGATCGGCATATCGAGTTTTCAGCACATTTACATGTGATCTAACTAAATAGTTCAGTCGAAGCATTTTTCGACAATTTTTTTAGTGTATTAGTACTTCCCATTGTTCTTAATTAAGTACAGAATCTGTCCAAGCAGCATATTAGCAACTGTATAAGAAAATTATTTTTAGTAAACAAGTAACTTTGATGCAATTAAAGTTGAACGTTGTCGATTGAAAAAGCTATTTTTCTGGTAAAAATACTTTAAGAAATACATAACTTGTAGTGAGATCCAGTTAGTCGTTTAGATATCTAAAATTCTACAGCTTAATTGATGGTGTTTCGCACTTCTGATGGTACATTATGTAGTTCAACCTCCTAAGGTGTAAATTTTCTACGTGTATTTGATAATACTGGACTCATGTAAATCAATATTACCAATGGTTTTTGAGCTTTATATTTTACATCTAATTTTAAATATATCATTGGATATTCAGTCTCCTAATAATTTAGTTTATACAAAATTTTAGAATCAGAATGCGATATAAAGTTGAAAATTTACTGATCATTTGGTGTATTGTTGCCACAAATATAACTTTTGAACACAAAAAGTATTTAGCATGTAAAAACACTGAAATTGTAAAAAGAAATCATGTATATCTGTTCGTTAACGAAACCCCACAGCAACAGAAAAGTACCATGAGTGTAAATAAATGAAAAGAGACACTTCAATTACGTGTAGATCCCCAATATCCTGCAACAAATAAGTGTAATATTTAAAATATTGAATTATTTCTATCATTGTGAAGATAAGTACGAAAAGTCATTTTTGAAGCATTAGTAAATGATATTATATTTGAGTAGTATGCATAGTTATACACCATTTCTGTGTGAACTGTTAAGTACTATCATTATGATAGTATAGATGAATTCAATAGACGACATTTTGTATGAACTCGTTACATTGTGGAAAAAGGTGACCTCTTTTATGTTACTTGTATATAGTTAACGGGTACATTAAAGCGTTTAACATAACTTCAGAGCATTTAAAATTAATTTAAGTTATTTTACTGCTCTGATCACTTAAAAACTAATTTTTACGAATTTAAGTAACTCGAATTTGTGTTGTTTCCGCCTCAAACCATTACAAATCATCGTGAAGGAGAAGTATTCATAAGTTTCATTCACCTTCATGGTGAGCAACAGTCTTGAATTAGACTATTGTGTTTGTTACAACTAATACGATATCACATGTTTGAAAAATTACAACTGAGCTATGTAGATTGTAATAAAGGTTTTTAACAGGATTATATATTGGAATTATTTAACGCCTATCAACTAACTTACGTCAACATTATGTTATAAAAACATTTTACTTTTCAAGTAATAGGCTTTCTTCATGCAAAACACATAGTTATAAGACTGTCGAGAAATATGTTAATGTGATTTAGATATTGACTAGTTTATTTACTACGAACATTTCTTCACCAATCCTTCTCGTAACCAGTTTATCAATTCATAATTTATTTATCACAAAGGTGTGATGTAACTCAATAATCAGGCAAATTCTTGATTTCACTTTCAAGTTCTTGCTTCAGGGTCAGTAATACTATCCAACTGGGTAAGATGACATAGGTATGGTGGGGTTCAAGTTGACGACTAAATAACTAGTTATCGAATACTTACATAATAACATTTGTTTACTCTCTGTAGTATTTATTTATCCGAACTATTTCTTTGAATAAAGTAACAATCAAAATAAATCTTATGTATTAAATAAATGAAATGTTTTACACAATTGTTTTTTCTAAAAAAAATTTCATTTACAACTCCTACTTTGGTTTTGCACCCTGGGGATTGTTCGCTTTATCCATCGCTTTAAATTTATTCATTGTATGCGAGAATGTAGAATGATGTCTGGAAATAGTAAGGAAAAACAAACCAAAAACATTGTTTTGTATAAATAAGAAAGACATTGAAAAACAGATAATCCGACTACGGGTGAAACAAGCATGTTTTTTTAAGAGGAATGATGTAACATAATGATATGATTATGATGTTTCTTTCTTCAACAGATTAACAAGTCTATTGAACCAATCTTAGTGAAATACTTGATCTTACTGAAAAGTTTAGTAAATCAAAAAAATGTAGGAGAATCTGATGAATGATTAATTAGACTGAATATTGTGATATCCAGTTTCCTTTTACCTTAATTTTCAAAAAAGCTATACGTAGAAAACAATCATTGGAACCATGAAAAAGTGCAAAGAAACAAAATGCACTCGGGATCTGAAAGTTTGAAAATATTAAATAACTAATATTTGCCAAATTTTAAGGGAAAAAATCTTTTATTGAATTTGCATTTAATGGAATGGTGTATTTATATATTTGTAGGGAATATATTATTTATCATCGCAATATGCTTTGATTCTCTATTAGTTAAGAATTTGTAGAACTGATGATTAGTAGTAAATTACACATCTAGTGTAAAGTGTTAATAACTTTGATAATAGAGAACCATGAATTTATAACAAACTAGATTGGTAAATGAGTATAGAAAAAAGTTGAATTTTTAAACAATCGACAATAGTATATTTCTGATGTAAATAGTAAACACTATTGTCACATGAATTGTAATTACAAGCCAAATCAGTAAGCGTCTAAGTTTAGTAAACCAAGGTAACAGATAAAAAAGCCATAGTGAAATCAGTAAAGTGATAAAGTAAGAATCTAAATTTTTCAATGCATTTCACATTATATTTTGGTATGACAATGACGTTATATACTTAAAACGTGTTCTTTTGAACTCAACCACTTAAAATTCAGGCTATTATTAACTTATATCATCTTGGTAGTTTTAGATCATGAGTTTACCCAAGCTAGACGACTGTTGAAAACTGTGAAGTACTGAATAATCATTTAGCATCAGTATGGGACTCCTAAATAGTACACATCTCCGATCCAACCAGAAATCAAACTAAAATTTTTCATGTGTTTCTCCGAGCGTTTAACTTTATGATCATTGATCTACATTTCTAACTCCGTTTGATTTGCAATATTGAGCGACCACTATGTACTGGAAATAGCAATGTTTAGTGGAGCTAGACCGATAACTGATTCTTATTAGAACTCTGAGACTTAGCTCTAAAAGTTAGTTACTAGTGATCGCTTGATTAATTTCTGGTATAAAGGGTCAACTTATCATTTACAAAAAGGTCAATCATAACGACCAGTCTATCCAATCTTACTTATATACATTTATCTTGTTTCATATATACTACGTCCAACGTAATGAAGTAAAAATGTGATCTACAGCGATTTTTGTATATTTACAAATTAATAAGTTAACATGACACTGTATTCCTATTATTTAAATAGACTGTTTATACAAGCAAGAATAATACATTCTATTTAAGTCGATTGTCTCCAAAGAAGTTTCTATTTTAATATGAAATGTATTCTATAACAGATGTTTATGATAAAAATGAAGTATAACCTCAGTATTTAGTGAATTTAACGATTATCTACCTACTTATCTCAAGTTTTTCGAATTATATAAACTTTGTTTATGACACAAATTGAACTGATAATCATATTAACTTAGTATATTATAATGTTTTATTAAATAGTGTCAATCAAACATAATTCAATGTGAGCGAACATGTTTTGAATATAAACAAAGATGAATCTTTACATATTATAATTAATAAATAGTAAATCTAAAGGAATAAATGCTACCACCAATTAAACTTACCTTCTTAAAGTGGTCATGTTTCCAGACATTGTACTATGTATGATAAAATATCTTATAATATCCTAAGTGTTTATTTAATCCTTAAATAATAAGATTAGCAATATAGATGCTTTATAGTATTCAATTGAAATAAAGTTGATACAAGAAGTAGAAAACACAACTGTAGTGATGAAATAGTACTTAAATATGAAGATTTTTTTTATATTGTTTCAGGCAAATCACAATACTATACTCCGTTAATCAATAAGTGAACTCAAGACATGCTTTATGTGTCAGTTTTTCTTTTCAGTAAAATAGTTCATACATTGGTTATATACTCAACTGAATAATAACTTCAAGAAAAAAAAGTTATCATGATGACATAATCACATGACAAGTAATAGAGATCTACAATTGTATTATGAATGATAAGTAAATAGTAAATGCTGGTCACTTTAATTTTATGCGCTTACTTACAAACAAAAAAACATTATTTTTTTAGTGAAGTTTTAACAAAAGAAAATTTTACTCATTCATTGGTCGCATTACAAAAAAAAAGACATAATTTGCGATTACTCCAAGTCAACGTTGAAAATCACTGGAGTAAGATAATGTGAACTGTCGAATATAAAATAAGTATTTCAATGATTATATACTTTCAAATAGATCTTCAAGTTAATCTGATCAGAATCTAAATGTATATTCTCGAATCATTCCAATTGAAACCCATCTTCAAATTATATAAATTCCAGTAAACCATACAATTATGCAGAAAGCTAACCAGTTTTCTAAGGTAGAAGCTTTGGGTTATGTATACTGTATATTGCTAACGAATTAATATAAACAGTTTGATACGGAATAAGAAAAGTTTTTCCTAGGAAAACTATACTCAAAAAGACCATTTCTTCATCATATATATTATAGTCATTTTATTTAAAAAAACTAATAACGTTAAGTATCAATAAGGGAAGTGATGTGATCTTCAGAACACACCCTTTAAATTAACCAGTTGAGCCAACCACTACTTACTTTCCTCAATAAAGTAAGAGAAACTGTATACTATTATATAGAATTAGGAATGGTTTTTATTAAAGGCAAGCATTCTATTCAATGCACAAAAAAGGTACATTAACATTATAACTATGGTCGAAAAATTTGATTTATATTCTCTTCATTGAAATCATGAACCGATTTAATTCAGAACATCATTGAAAACCAGGAAGCACTAGGGGGACGTTCTGTCTTAGTATAAGATTCGTCACAGGTGCTCACCGTCGACCATGTACGGGGGAATCAAACACGTGCAATGCCTAATCACTAGACCCCTGAGTTGGCATCTGGCGGTGTTCATGTCTAACTTCAATCCATCTAAGACACTGCATAAACATCTTCCATTGTCTTCGATGGGTAACTGTCTCACACTCGACACGAATTAACTCCATTGATCATTGCTTTTCACTAGGACTTTGGAAATTTTCTCTCGAAACAAACCACTAGTGAGCACACGATAATTGTCAGTATGAAGTTGTAATCTTTGGAATACTTAAATTTGAAGAAAATCGTCAAGTAACGAGTCTGAAAATCCTAAACAATTCGTGAACGGACTGTTAGTAAGCCTATTACTATATAAATAATGTAAGCATAGAAACATTTTTTAAAGGTTCTAAACTACAGATTCATTGTATTACTACCTAATCAATGTTTTTTTACTTAGATGTTCATCATAATTAAAAATAAACCTTGTTCATTGCTGGACGTAGTTTCAGGAGTAAACAAGTCATGTATTTTAGATACTCAGCAGCATACTAACATGAATGCGTTTGTATGTTCGGTATTGTTTACTAACAAATTTATCAAGCTGAATATTTGAATCACTAAACCTTCTTGATTTCATTAAATGAAGTATAAGATTCATTTGTATTCATTTCTATAAACTGGCAGTTAGTTTCATCGTACTTATGTGTACAATAGGTTTATGGAAATATTGTGAATAAACATCAACTGAATGGAAATTGATTTAATCAACAGGTTGTTGCAAGTCGATACTTCCACAATAACCTTACATTTTCAGTTGTAAAAATGATGTTATAGTTAGAGAAGATATATACTTCGATATATTTACACTTGCATAATAATACCATTGCTTCAGTTGAAATTATATTATTCATCATTTCTGAAGTATTACACATGAATCTTCAGTGAATATAAGAATTGAATTGATTCAAACACCATACTCAGTAGAAAACAACGATGATGAAACACTGGCTAAATTATTTTAAGGTCTAGTTGTTGTTGTTATTGTTGTTAATGTTTTACTTTACAATGGAATTATTCGAACATCAATGGTGTTGAAAGTTAGTTAGAAAATGAAATAGGTGTTAGTTAATAGGCTTTTGCATTTGAGTCGAGAGATTGAATCTCCGAGGATATCACATTTTGTAGATACATTTCATTGCAATAATCTGTCAGACTAAACTCTTAATACTTAATCTTTTATAGAAGAGCTCAAATAACAACGAATATGTGTTGCTGTGAGATTAGTTTCTTTGACAAACTTTGTAAAACAATAACAACAAACAATATAGTATGAAATGAATGCATTTCATTATTTCGTTTTTCCCATATATACTCACTGATGTGTATAAATAAATGAATAATATAGTAATGTAGCGTGGCGTCGAGTTGAGATTAACTATGAACACCGCTACCAAGAAACACGTGCCAAATGAATCAGAAGGCGAAGGTTGAACGTAACCAAAGAAACCCATAAAATCTCCGGGAAGCCAAATACCAGAAGGCAAGTAATGGACCAAATCGAGGTGTATATTTGCTGGCGATCTCGTGGCATCGAGAGGATACCGAGATCGTGCCAGGATACAACCTTGGTTACAGAAGGCAAACGAATTCGCGCAAAGTTACAATCGAAGTGTAAGTAAAAGAATGGAAGCACAAAATAGCTGTCATTAGAACAGTCAAACAGAAGCACGTTAAAACAAACACTGGTATAGTTGGTTATAATAATAATTGTTTTTATTAAACCAGTCATGTTCGCGTGATAAATGTGAGTCACTACAGTAATCTTAACTATTGAATGACCTAATTTGAATATTGTACTTACGATCTTTCGCAGTCATATGTAATTGTCTGTTATCTTTATTCATAAATCTTTGAATTATTATTATTATCAGAGAGGGGTTCTGTAGACATTATAGTAATTTAATAGTTGAATTCATGAGTCGATTGAACCTAGACCACCATGGAAAACCAGTGCTTCGACTGACTCGTAAATTCAACTATTAAATCATTATTATTATTATTATTATTATTATTATTATCATTATTAACAATGGTTAAACATCATTACATGACTCATTTACTTCGCATTCATTCCAGTTTATTTTTTATACATCACAGTCTTCCACTAAACATTTGATCATATTGTAACTGCACTATTATTTCTTTCACTCTATCTGACCCATATTTATTCTGATCATGGATCTTAAATTTCCACTCAACATATGAGTTATATCAACATTAACAGTTTTATTCTATTTTGTTTGACAATCCTAAATTCACATGTTATAACTTTAAACGATGCACTTTACCCTTAACCTGGCCATTTTTCGGATTATTAATTTGGATATACAATTGTAGAACCTGAAAAGAATTTACCGAAAAGAATATTCTTCGTTTAAATATTAGTCATATAAATAAGATCATTTGTTCATTAGTGAAAAGTAATTATAAATACTTTCCATATCTGTATATATTCAATACATAGATCAACAGGTTACACAAACAAGGAAAAATGAGTTTCCTTATATGAATGTGTCATTGTCGTCCTGTACCAGTTCATAGTAATGTATAATGGTAACTTTAGAATTTATTTGATGCATTTAGTTTTATCACCGCCCAGTTGGATGATGAATTTTGTCATTGGATCCATGAATATTGGCAAGATATTTTAGTTGAAATGTTAATAAACTGAAATGTAAATCAGTGGTGACCAGTGGAAAACATCTCAAATGACAAGTAAATAGGGAAGCAAACTGTAGTCGTGCTCAAGCCATTATCGAAGTATGATACTTAGCAATATGAAGTTGAATTCATGTGTTAGTCGAAAACACGTGGAAAGCATAAGTTCAAATCATATGAAAAAGTAAATATTCCATAAAGTTATATATTTTTATCCAAGAGCTTTACATGATAAAGAAATCCATGATTCAGAGTTTCTACAATGCTATTGTTAATGAAACGTCGACAACTGACCCAGTTTATGAATAGGCGACGTTAATTTTGCAAATCATAGGGTTTATTAAGTTAAAACATCCCTTGAACTAAAGTTTAAAAGAGAAAAGCATCAAATATCTATTTCGAATCAATTGATTTTAATGTTAACATTCAACAACAAGATTATTACAGTGTGTAACACCCTTTCAGAAGAAACTATCCTGAAAAATAAAATAAACATTCTGGCAAACTACGAAAACCTGTTTAATTAGATGGTACTATTTAAACTCATGTTAATTTAATTCGTTTACTTATTTACTCTGAAGGAATGGCGTTAATTAAGTCACGAAACGTCAAAAATACAAATTTTTCTACTCATTAAGATATAACAAAAAATATACCCAGACTTTCTATCCAATGCCCAATTTATTTGAAACTATCAAGTTCAGCCTTGACAATGATACCTAGAAAAAATAATTAGTTTATAAACATTGATAGTTTTGAAACTTTTAATCCAGATATCAAATGAAAAGAACCTTCATTTTGAAGCTTTTCTGAATCAACTTCATTCATATTAAACTATACACATTAGAAATTAGATAGTCTACTCAAAGATCATTTCATTATAGCTTTTAATACTATCAAGATATTGTTCAAATATATCGTATATTTACATATAATAAGTTAAAAGTTTCGATTTTGATTAAAGAGAATAACAATTAATTAGAACTTATGATTTACAGTGAATCATTTTCTAGTTCTATTACAATTAATTGACCTACTATTAATGTCATTTTTCTAGTTTAGTAAAAGATCAGTTTCATTGATTTTTGAGTATTAACTAATCAGGAAAATCAGGTCGATCAGTTCACGTTTTATTTACAATCTATAAACTAATTAATAATATAATAAATGAGTAAAGAACTAGACATTAAAGGTCAAGAAAGTTATTGAAAATCAGGTCAGTAAAGTAGTGATTGTATATCCTATAAACATTTTCATAATAGAGAAAATAATTACCAAGTAAAGTTTGGAAAGTGGGAAGTTAAAAAACGTGAAAAAAATAGGGATTCATTAAACAGAAGCAATGGGAGTAACATGGTTATTATGTTGTAATTACATTTAAAATCTTAACAGTTAAACCTGTTACTAGTTTTCTGAAAGATAGGCTTTAAGAAATAAGTGGTTAAATACGGATAATAGTTGAATTTATGAGTCGATGTAAGTTAGCATTCTAGTGAGAAGCTGTGATCAGTGAAGTCCAATCTGTGTCGGGTAGAAACAGGTATCTTACTCAGAAAATAGATGAATTGTTGTGCAGCCATTCAGGGATCGATGGATGTTAGACTTTAACACCGTAGGACACTGGCTCAGTGGTCTAGAAGTTAAGCGTTCGTGCATGAGACTTATAGGTCCCAGGTTGGAATTCCACGTGCGGGATCGTGGATGCTCACTGTTGAGGAGTCTTATACTGGGACGAAACGGCCGTCCAGTGCTTCCAGGTCTTCAGTTGTGGTCTATCATACATGGACTCTTGAATTCAGCTATTAAAATTACTGCAATCTCCACAAACCCCGTTCTGATCATAAAATGTGGATAAAACAAACCTTTCTAAGGAATATGCAGTTTGCAAAGAACGTTATTTTAACTATTTGTTTTAAATACATTCAATGTAAAGTGACAAATTTTCGTCCCTAGAGTCACCAGTGAACAGTTTCTTCATGTTTGAAATTAATGATAAACTAGTTTTAATACAATGATTCAAATACGTCCTGATTTCCACGTTATTGATAAACGGATCGTGTGTATAGAATAGGAAAAAGAAAATTCAGCGAAGAAAATTTTCTTTTCGACGACTTCGTTTACTTAAGCTGTACATTCGTATACATAGTTATACGAAAATATATGTCTATAGAAGGATAGAAAAGATTGCATCACAATAATGGATCCGAGAATTAATAATAAGTATCATCCATATAACTCTTATATAATTGAAATTTCTCAACTATTGGTTGAAGTACCGAATTTTCTAGATTGGCCATGAAACAATCAGCCAAGAGAGGACCCAATGGAGAACCCATTCCAACTCCATCTGCTTATCCATAGAAACATCATTAAATCTAAATTGCACGTTGAATGTACAACGTAGAAGTAGTTCTTTAAGATAATGTTTTGGGATACACATATCAAGATTACTGTTTTCAGCATAGTCACATAAAAAACAACTGGTTTCTGTGAGAGGAGCAGTTGTAAAAAGAGAAGTGACATTTAATGGGAACATTTCCTTACCAATAACGTTAATATTTCTAACTGAGTCGACAAATTCAAAGGAGTTAAGAGAATTGTATTTATTCATATGATTTTTAACACGTGATAAAATGTCAACTAACCATTTAGCGATCAAGTGATAAGGAAAGTTGTTCATATCAAGTATAGGATGTAGAGGAACATTATTCTTATGAACTTTTGGGAGTCCATTTAGTCTTAGTATAACGGTACCCGATGGTTTGAGATGCTCATAAAGGTCACAATTGATAATAGACTCATCTTTCATTTTCCGTAGGATTTTAATTAGCATCTGTTCAGTTTTTTTTCAGTTGTGTCTTCTTCGAACGGTTTCTTTGGAGAATTTGACAGGATCAAATAATATCGGAGATATTTTGGAGATATAGTCAAGGCGATCCATAAGGACAATTCCTGCACTCTTGTCTGGGCGACATAACACTAAGTCCTGATTTCTCCGAAGATCAGATAATTGAGATTTGTGTTCATTTTTGAGTAATCGACTAATTATAGGTGTTTTATTTGCATATTGATAACAACAATCCACAAGAGTTTTTTTGCATTAAGAATTTATAAAATACTTCAGTTTAATAAGTTCAAAGTACAAGCACTTATAAGCTAAATATGGTTCGAAAGCCCAATAATTTATTAAAGAGCATTAAAAAATTCTTTATCTAAACGACAATCTTTAGATGATTGTTGCTTAACATTATTTTTATTTGAGCGGATACATTGTGCTCCATGGCATTTTTGTGGAGATCATGAAATACTGTTTGCTTCAAAATATATTAAGATGATTTATTGATTACAAACAAAAGGAAACCCAAAATAAAGAAGAGGGTAAGAAAGTGAAAAACCATACTTAGCACTGCAATCCAGCGGAGTTTTATAGAACTACAATAATTTACTTCTTAAATTATGGTGTATGATACTTATGTCCACAGACATAAGTAGAATGTAACACTAATTGAAAGTGAAAACCCTGGGAGCAAAAGGCTGAGAAGCTCGAGTTGAAGAGGATAGAAGTGAAAATAGAAAGGAATTGTGAACTTGAAGAATAATACAAAATGTGAAGAAAAGATGATGGAAACTCGCAAATGAAGTATTCAGTGTGATTCTCAAATTTTACTAAGACATTCTGCAACTCTGTATATAAGTACATTTGATTGTCCCTACTTGACTCCATGTCCACTACAGTATGAGACGATGGACAAAATCATGAAATTATATAACACAACTTGGTTATTTCGCTTTTAATAGCCTGTTGAAGAGTAGATATTGAAAAGTCACTACCAAACATCCAAATGAAGCATGATGAAGAAATTAATTACCTTTTCTCATAATACAATATTGTCTACTGAATGTAGT